CCTCTATCAGCCGCAACTTCCCGGGGTCGCACGTGGGGGTGCTGGGGGGCTCCGGCATCTGCATGGACTGCCTGTGAGTGACAGAGGGCAGGTACTCAGCCAGCACCAAGCACGCGCCCTGCCTGGCACTGCAGCATGGGGCAGCTCTCCCAAAGGTGCCCTCACACACACCAACCCCCTCGCCAGACCCCAGCACTCACCACTGCTCCCATATGCCCCAGCCAAACCCCTGGGCATCCCTGTGGCATCAGAAAAAACGGCGGCACAACAGTCAATGGTTAACTCCTGGCTCAGTGCCTCTTTCCCGCACGCACCAAAGAGAAGCCAGCAGCATTCACACCAGACCAGCCTCCCAGCCACAACTCAGGCCCACAGAAAAGCCAGTGACACTCACCCAAGCTCTACCCACCCACCCTGCAGCCCCACGTCAGGCTCACAAGGCATTGTGTCCCAGGTCCAGGAGCTGCCCAGCACCTACTGACACCCTCAGCAAGGTGGTGCCAGTGCCAGCAGCCTCTTCCAGATCCCATTTGCTCAAGAAGCAACAGTGCAGCTTGGCCTCGTCAGCTCAGTGCCAGTAGTGCCCAGCAGGTCCTGCCCAGCACACCCAGCATGGGGACACCCTGTTGGGGACAGCCTGCCTGACAGGTGGGTGCCCAGGCAGGACCCTCCTGAGGTGACAGTCAGAGCAGTGGCTGAGCGTTGGCAGCGCCCATCGCAAGGTGAGCACAGGGTGGACTCTGTGGTTCTGCCAACAGCTTGGCTTTGGGGAGAGGACAGAAAGGGAACGGGAGGACAGAGAAGGAGAGGAGAGAAAAAACAACAGGGCAAAGAGCTTCAGTGGCATCACTGCAAGCAGTGAGTGCAAACCAGCCACATGGGCTGAGCCCCAAGTGGGCATCTCCGTGGCTCCTGCTGCTGCCCTGACACATGTTCCCCTTACCTGGGCTTTTTAACAAGCTCATCCTCATGATCCTCCACTGAGTGCAGCAGGAGAGAAAGGAGGAGACAGAGTCAGTCTGCAGCAACCAAGGCCCAGAGACAGCAGGAAGGCAAAGGCAGGAAAACGGACGTCTCCTCCCGCCACCCTCCTGCCCAACACCAACACCCAGCCCTGCTGGGCCACGGGGCAGAGCACAGCCCCAGCCCTGCGGCACCACCACGAGCCCACACACAACCCCAGGCAGCTCCTGCCAGCTCAGCCTCCCTGGAGGGGCCACACAGGGCCAAAACCAACACTCCAGTGCCACGATGCACCATGGCCTTTGTGCAGCACCAGTTGCCCCAGCAAAACCAGGCAGTCAGGCAATGCTGGGCCCTGCAGGAACTCACTGCTGTCTGTGCCCGTCAGCCGGGCCAGTTTGCGGAAGGAGCGGGAATGGGAGGTCCCGGGGCGGGGCTGCCAGTTCTCAGCATCCTCTCTCAGCTGCAACGTGGGGGTTGCGGGGGGGCCCCAGCGGCTGCGGGGGCTGCCTGCGAGCAACAGAGTTGTCTGTCAAGTCTGACAGATCCCCACGGCATCACCTCCCTGGGGCAGCCCCACACTTTTCCTGGCACAGAACCCACAGCACACACCAGAACCTGAGACACTGCACGATGCCTTCCTCCCCACGCCCCCTGCTCCTCCTTCGCATAGGAAGGGCCCATTAAGGACTGACTCAGGACTGACCACCATTCCTGGCAGTCTAAGACTGGCCCCCAAGGGCCAGGAGGGGAAAGGACAGGGCACGAATCAGCCAAGGTCAAAAAATCACCATTAGAGCATCAGAGGAGCTGCAGGAGTGCCCAGCGAACACCTGTGGTGCCCGTGGTAATGCCACCCGCCTGCCTGGCCCTGGTGAGGACCCTCACCCAGCCGAGCCACATCTCGGGGAGGAGGGAAGGGACCACACGTGAGGACACTCCAGGGCCTCAGCAGCCGGCAGAGACAGGCAGCGCTCGCCCTTCAGGCTAGGAACAGCGTGCTGCCAGGAACGACCCACCCCCATGGGCAGAGCAGCGTTGCTGCCTGTCCCCAGGCTGGCCCTGCCCTGGAGAATGGGGCACTAGCAGGGAAGAGGCATGCAGGGAGGATAGAGAGAGCAGGTAAAAGGCTTACTGACTTGTCAAGGCTCAGCACCTGTA